GCCCCCACTGTTTTTGTTGTTTTTTTCATGTACGACTTGTGTTCCGTGTGCTTTTATTACTGTAAATTTGCGAAAGTACAGCTGTTAACAATAACAATGACATAGAAACACTCCCCACAGAAGAAACCCAAACAGAAATGCCAACGAAGCTATGCACCGATGGCGAAAAAAAAAAACACACACATAAGCTGAATGCAGGAAAAAAAAAATTAATTAATTAAGCATTTTTTTTGTTGGGCAACGAACGTTGCCAACACGTGAGTTGCATGTGGGTGGCTGATGGGGGCTCACTCACTGTCTGCTTATGTTTTAGCCTTAGTTCTTGGCCTTTTTGTGTTGCTGTCTTTATGCTTATCTGGAATATGTCGAATATTTCGTTGCACTTTTTCATGGCTGTCGCTCGGCGCTCGGTCTGAAGCCTTGAAATGTAATTGAAAAGGGCACAAAACAAAGCAGCCCCAACTTGTTGGATACAGACCAGGTCTACTATGTGGGTCTAGCTCCCCCGCATAGTAAACGGAGGTTAAATTTGTTTTTTTTTTTTAAATTCTTTTTTATGTCTAATTTTATTGGGGGATGCTTTGGTTTTTTGTGGGTGGAAGATACGGTTTTTGGAGAGCAAAAAAAAAATAATGAATTTAATTAAACAATTTTCTTAATAATTTCTTCTTAATAAACCTTTAATTTTCCTTCTTAGAAACGCGGAATGAAGTATAAATAATTTGAATACCAATGAAACTGTTGGCATCTTCAATGATGTATCCAAGAATGAATACTCGTAAATTGAGAAATGGCAAACAAATTGTTGTGCTTAATTTTGAACAGAAAAGCGGGAGACGTCCAAGGAATCAAGACATGTCCTGTGGATAGTAGCAGGGGAGCCAAAGCACTGTGGGTGGGTGGCTGGGAAGAGCAAACGAAGTCAACGAAAGGCCAACAGCAACAACGAAACAGAAACGAACAAACGAACCAACAACTGAATGAAATACAATAAAATTTTAAAACAAACAAATGCAAACACACAAAGAGACACACAGACTGAGTGGTGAGGGAGGGAGGGAGGTAGCAAGAAAGTAGGGGGAGGCAGAAGAAAGTGAGGCAGACAGCTGGTGCGAAAGAGAGGCAAAAAAACGGAATAGAAAGAGATGGCAAAACACACACACACACACACACACACAAACAAACACAACAAGCAGCAGCCCAATGCGAATGCTACTAATGAGCACTGAAACAACAACAAAGAAAGCAAAGCGATGGAGCAGGACAGGAAGGAGGAAGTGGAAGTGGAAGCAGAAGCAGAAGCCGAGGAACCAGGAGAAATGGGAGGTGGAATTGGAAAAGGCAGAGCCAGGGAGCGGAGGTGCGGAAGAGCAGTCCGCAGCAGGCGTCGACATCGTTCGTGACAGTCACCTAACCATAGCCCCCCCCAAAGTCCTCCCCTCCCTCTCTTCGTTCTATGGCTTTGAAATAAACAAATAAAACTAAAAACAACTAGGAATACTAAATGAAACATTTAGACTGAGGGAATACCCTGTACTTGCATTTTTAATGGGTATTTCTCTCAATGAAAGACAAACCAGACGACAACACAATTCTATTATTATTTTTTATTATCTGCTAGAAATATCCTGTAAATATTTCAATTGCTAAAACTAAATAATAAAGATGGATTTTAATATCTCTTGTCTATATCTTGTCTAAACTTTATAAAGGGGTGTCGCAAATCGAATACTTTTTACATTTACTCTGATAAACATCGAATTTAATCATTGGGATGTCTATATTAGAATACTCTTTTCAGGTTCGAATTGTTGATACCATTGAATTTGCTCCATAACTAAATCATGGTTATAATAATTACCAAATATAGTAGTTAGGTCTCTCCATAGATCAGTATATGTACATATGTATATAATTTGTAGATATTTAATTATGCATATGTATTGGGTATTCAGTTTGTGCTTTATTATAATTTCTTTTTTATTTTTTATTTCTTTATTTTGTATTTTTTAAACATTGAATGTAAGCTTTGGGATGTCTATATTAGAATAATCTTTTTAGGTTCGAGTGGTTGATACCATTGAATTTGAATTGAACATTAAATAACTAAATCATGGTTGTAATAATTACCAAATAGTTAGGTCTCTCCATAGATCAGTATATATAATTTGTAGATATTTAATTATGCATGGGGGTAGTTTGTGTTTTGTTTTTTTATGTTAATTTTTATTAAAGACATTTCTTATAGTTCTTATAAATTCTTTTAAAGAGAATACACATACTATGAAAACATTTGAATGGGATATGATTTATTTAAAGACTTCGCTGCATATTACCCATGAAATGTATGGGCCTTAAGCATCTTACTTCCTTCCTCATGTTACATACACCCTCAGCAACGATACCTACCCTGCAGTTTTACTCCTACAGGGTATAGCAAACAACAACGACAAGGAACAGTTGTGTTCTATAGTAAAATGCTTATTTACGCATACAATTGCACGTGAGAGAGCAACCTACAGAAGCGGAGAGCGAGAGACAAACTCTGAGAAAGAGACAGCAAACTGACATGGGGCCGCATGGGGTGGGTGGTGGTGCACCAGTGGGATGGGAGGGGGATGGGGGGTTAAAATAGGAAGTTTTGTTTGCAGTGCTCACAGCAACAGAGCGGAGAGACAAACACAACTGTAACTGTAATTGTGTGTTTGTTTGCTCGAAACTTCCTCCCAACCCCCCACACCATCACCATCACCAACCCAACCAACCCAACCCAACCCACTTTCAACCATCCCAAGACCCTGTCCTGTACTTGTACAACCCGCAGTTGTCTGGTTTCTGTTTCTGTTCTGTTTCCCTTTCGTTTCGTTTCGTTTTTGGCCAAATAAAAAGTTTGTTGAGAACATTGGCAAATGTTTGTTTTAGAAAACGGGAAAATGCTTCCAGTGGTTGCGACATCATTATCGTTATCGTAATCATCATTTACATGATGATTACAATTAACATCATCATTATTATCATCGTCATCGTCATCTTCATCAGAGTTGAATTGTTTTGTATTTGTCTTTGTCTCGTTCATTGGCTTCCTTCGTTTTCTAAGCTTATTGCTTCTGCTTCTGGTGCTTGTTTTTGTACTGCTTTTCCTTATTTTTTATTTAATTCTAGAATTGTTGAAAATACTCTACGTTATACGTGGATTTTTAGCTAATAGATTGATTTGCACTAGCTATAATTTGGGGTCTAATTTAAATAATATTAAAATGGTAATATAATTATAATAATATAATAATTATATATAATATTATATTTAAAATTAATATAATATGAAAACATACTGTTAAATAGGCGATTAGAAAAAGATTTGAAAATTTATTGTTCTTAAGCAGAGATAATTGAATAAAAAAAATAAAACTAAAAAACTAAATAAAAATAAAATTAAAACAATTCTTAAATAGTGGCAAAACTATGGAATTTATAGGGGTTTAATTTTAAAATGAAATAAAGAAATAAAGATATATAAATATAATATATAATATATGTATATAATATGTAAATATCTCAGCAATGAATGGACATTTTTTATTAAGACGATTGTTTTCGATTTGTCATAACATTTTATAATTTTGAACTGAGAAAACTGAAGAACTGAACTCATGAAGGAGGATAATGACCTAATGGGAGGAAGCTACCAAACCGATAGCACATATACAGCGATAACAAACGATAGCACACATATGTATGTATATGCAGATGGTAGCAAAGAAAGTGCATTTCCATTGCCAACATATTGATGAATGATTCGTGGCGGCTCCACTGCTTGTTAGGGTTTGCCTCCTTGTTTGTGCTCCATCGTCATCGTCATCGTCGTTTGCTACTCGTACTTTTGCGTAGTTTTGTTTATTTTATTTGGTTTGCTTTGTTTTATTTTTGTTTATTTTTGTTTGATTTACGTACCCCAGAACCTCTCCCCCCCGCATCCACAAAGTCACACTACACATCCCCACTACGAACCCCAACGAAACCCAGACCAGGCTCGGCAGAGCCACCTTAGAGCCACAACCCACCGACCCACCTCGAATTGTTGGCCTGTCGCCGTGTTTTGTTTTACTTTTGCTGCTTCTCCTCCTTTTTTCTTTGCCTTCAGTGGGGTGGGTGGTGAGGAGTTTGCCAGAGTTTGCTGTTGTTTTTTCCATTTCCCCCTGCCCACTCAGCTTTTTTGTTTTCTTCTATTTAATTTTGTTTTATTTTTTTGCCTCCTCTCTTTTCTTGTTTTGTTGTTTTTTGTGTAGGTGTATTGACTTAAAGTTTGTTATACTTCTTTGCCTTTTGTCTTTCAGGTTCTCCAGGTTCAATTTCTACTCTCTCTCTCTCTCTCTCTCTCTGTTCTACCACTGCTTCCTCTTCTTGCATTTCTTCAGCTTTTTCCACCTCTTGTTATTGTGGAAGGAAACGCCTTCGAAACATTTCAGTGTTTGCTCTTTGGGTTGGTTTCTGAGGGGCCCGGTGGGCGGTTCAAAGTAGAGAAATTCCCCAAGTTTGTACTGGGCGGGTTTTCTTTTATTTTGTTGTTGTTGTTGTTGGAACTTTCAGTGCTAACATCGGACATTGGATGACCGGCCGAACATCCATAGGGCTACTTAATCGAAAACAACTGAAATATTTATCGAGTTAAGTTTGCACTGGGACACGGGTAATACTTAAACTTTTGTGCCAAGTAGTTCCCAAGGATTACGATGCGTGGTGTAGAGTACCCTCTACAGAATTATGGATCTTGCACATACCTGTAATGAGGTTTATTATATTTACTAGATTTTTTAAACACACAATCCGTTCAGTACTCTTAAAATAAATTAGATCCGGGCAGAAGATTAAAGCTAGAGAATTAAAATTAAATAATTAAAATTAAAGAACTTTCATTATATAAAATATATAATAATAAAGGATACTTTCATACGATCATTCTCTTTGAATAAATTCAACGTTTAGAAACGTTCAAAAAGTACACTTATAATTTGTATTCAAAAATGTGTGTACAACATTTTTAGACCCTAAATCAAGAAATTTCAAAAATTATTCAAAAATTTAATCCGCCAAAAACGAGATGAGCCGAACCAGGAACTGGTCTCGGGCTAAGCCTCACCTTCCCAGGGATAACTTAAAGACGGAGGCGGGCATAAGGGCCACCAAATTTCCAGCAATAATTGATCCGGAGGTTGCTTAATTTGTAGTAAATATTTATATATATTTTTAAAATTATTATTTACAGTGTGGCCCCGTTTCAATGGCGATGATCATAAGCTGGGAGTATGCTAGGATTTGGCTGCGTGAACGCGATGCGAATGTAGCGCAACACGAGCAGGCGGCCAAACCCAAGACTGTGAATAATGACTTCGAGTGGTGGCTGAAGCTTCACAAGACCAACAAGCGGTTCTGCAAAATTAAATGAAGATCGTAGCTCGAAAAATTTCCGAACAATTTAGTAAACAAAAAAGGCAAAATTCAAATGGTACACAGCAAAAATAAAACCAACTAAACTACTGGAAAAATGATTACAAAAAAACTTTTAATCCACAAAAGCATGACCATTCAATTAGATGGCTGTTTACGTCCTGGCATAAAGCTATACGAATTTATGCACTGATATTCTGATTAATCTGCAGCCACTCCACTGGGATCCTATGTTTCAGCCAACGTACTGCCACGAGGCATCCTCCTGCTTGTCCAATACGCGCAAGGGTCCGATGTTGGTCACCAATTTCTTGGACAGCTGTGGATCTCTGTTGAGAGAGTATTGCTAGGGCTTAATTACTTCAGCTTGAGCCGTGCTGGTGCCAGCCAATATGTGCTTTAATGCTGCTTCTGCAACTCCTCCAAAAATGATTCTGCAATCGATTGAGTTTCCCTTTAGAATTTAAACAAAATTGTAACTGTCGCTTTTTCCAGCATGATCTAAAATAAAGCTCTTTAGTTGATACTCAAACCACAATTGCGATTTAGCTGGTTCTGTTGCTGGCTAAGCAAAAAGCTTTTCTTTTGTCTTGGAAAATGGAGTTGCAAAACTTTTGTTGTTTGTTCTTGGGTAGGGTAACGGCAGCCGTGTGCGGATTTTGTTTAGCAAAGGTCAGACATTAGACATATCAACAGCTTGTTGGCCTTCTAAGATGTGGGTTCAACTAATTAGGCTGTTACTTGTTAACCTTTGGCTAGGGAGTGACTAGAAACGTCTTAGGGGGGATATTAATCGTAGGATGATGCACATATATTATCTCAGTTGAATATGATTTTATATAGTTGGAAGTAAAAATTATGAAACAAGAAATGAGAGATAATAGTCTTCTTTTTCTTAATTAAATTTTATTAAATTAATCTGTGTTTATTTTAAAAACTGAAAATGATTTATGTAACATGAATTGAAAATACTCGATTAAATTTATGCACATATGACTGCCATATCGTCAGTTTTAAATGGTACAAGAAAACAATCATGTATTTGTTTTCCTTTTCCATCAATATGTTGCATTAATCTCTTTTTATGTATCAGAAATTCTTCTTCCTTTCGCTTTCTTTGTTTTTTTTTTTTGCCATATGTCAGCCTTTAATGACACTATAAGCCATTGCGAATTATATGTTCAGTGTTTCTTTTGCATGGATACGTTTAAATATTCTGTTTGAAGACATCATAAGGTCCTTCCTACGCCCCAAACTCAATTTCCTGCCATATGTCTGCTCCATAACCTCTTCCTCGAACAGCTGTTTGGAGCTTCAGCCGGCAACAACCGTTTGAAACACCCACGAAAAGCTTCTGCTCCTTGGGGCCCTCATACAGGTTGCAGGCTGCTGCCCAGAAAAAGCACTCAAATAACGATGATGAGCTGCTCCCACTCAAACTCTCACTCCCACTCTCTCCCCTACACTCAGTGCTCAGTGCTCACCTTTTGAAACGCGCTCTCTCTCTCTCTCTCTCGTTCGCTCGCTCACCCACAAGCACAGGAATTTGCATGCAATTTTTCGTGCTCTCTCCTCTCTCCACATTGGCTCCCACTGGCTCTCTCGCTCCCACGCTTCTCGTGTGCTGTGTGCCTGTCGCTCGTTTCGCTCATTTTGTCCATCGGTAAGCTTTGCAGTGGCAAGCAGCAGCAACGGCAGCGGCAGCAGCAGCAGCAGCGGCTATCGTGCCTCATTTTCCATGGCGGCGGCGTCAATCAAACGTTTGCCGCGTTTGCAGTCGGTTGTCGCAACGGTTTTTACCTCCTCCGGATCGCATGTGCAAATAGTGGGCGGTCCGTTCGTTTCGGCCACTACGTCATAATCGTAATCGACATCGTCATCGTGCTGTTTCGTTACCGTATTTTACCGTTATAAGCACAGCACCCCATGTCGTGTTTCGTTATATTAACCGTTACAGCGCGCATAAAGCGATAAAGCCAGCAAACACACACAAAAATTGCAAACTTGTTACGCATTTTATAAGGTTTTTCCGCAACAACAACAACAAAAAAAGACGAAAAAACAAAAACAAAAAAAATAAGAAAAGAGAAAACCAAACAATAACAAAATACGTTTCGTGTTCGCGCGCGCGTGTTTGTTGTATGTGTGTGTGTGTGTGCTGTGTTTACGTATGTAGGTGTGTGTGTATGTGTGTGTGAGTGCAAATTCCAAAAGAAAAAGGAAAAAGTAAAAGCATAGAAACACACTAAAACGAAGAAAACAAAAAAAAAAGAAAGAAAGAAGGAAAAAAAAACACACCGTTTTTACACAGTGCATTTGAAAGTAAGTCAAAGAGTGGGTTTTGTGCCTATATATGCATGTGTGTGTGTGCGCTAGCATATGCTGGAATTTTATGTTTTTACAACAATTTATGATGTTTTTTGGTTAGAAATTGCATGCATTACTCTTTGCATGCTAGGTTCTATGATTTCGAGTGGTTTTATTGCACTAAAAGTGCCCAAAAAGTGCCGCAATATGTTAGCTTTACACACACACACACACACACATAGACATAGCCATAGACACACAGGCATATGCAGACACAGATAGTCGTAGCAGAGACTCCGGCTAACTGTTGTCTGTGCACGAGTGGGTGTGGGTGAATTGGCAATAGTTGTTATTGCAGCGGCAGTTGCGGTTTTGTGTCCCAGCTGTTTGTTAAATCAAAGATGATGCAAAATCTAAGAAACGATCCTTAAGGAATCCATAAAGCAATGTCTGTCTTCCTACACCCTTTTGTCTCATACAGAGCCGAGGGCCCCGATGCTAGCGCTCCGTACAATTAAATTTAATATTATTTCATAATATTAATAAATAAAATAAATAATAAATGTCTGTCTATCTTTCTGGCTGTTTCGCAGCTAGTACACGTGCTAAAGTCTTGCAGAAGACTGCAGAGCTTTATTATTAATTTTTTAATATTTAATATTTTTTTTAAATTTAATATAATATAATATTTTTTATATTTAATAAATGTTCTTTTCTTTGCCACTGCCAAATGGAATTAAAACAGTAGCCCAAAATCAACCAATGTCTCTTGCAGTGTGTCAAAACATTCGGTTCGCTAAAAAATTACTTCTTCTTTTTTTTATCGTTGTTGCTGCCACAAAACGTAGCAAGTAGTCGTAGCAGCAGCAGCAATAATAATGGCAAAAACAAGTGCAGTCAGCAAAACCAACTTAACCAGTCAACCAGCGTGTGTTGCACTGCACTGCACTCCTCTCTCTCTCTCTGTCTGTTGCTGCCACTCTGCATCTGGCTCGGTCGTTGCATGGTCAGGGCTTCGCTTCTTGGACTGCTTTTGGCTTCACGCCGCCTCTCTCTCTCTCACTCACTCTCTCTGTCTCTTCAGCTGTGCCTCTCGCGAAAAGCAAAGCAAAACTCAGTCGACACTTGTCGCGCCTTTTGAGTGTCTTTTCCCCACTGGCTAGTGCCCCAATCCCCTCCCCCCAAACACTTCTCTCTGCCAATGCCATCTGCTTCTTTCTGTCTTTTGGCATTTGGGTTTTCTCTACTCACCCCACACTACTACCCCCCCCACCAAGTTGGCTTACATTGAAAGCTTTTGCGAGTTTCGTTCGATTTCCATTTGCTTTTAATTGCATTTATGCATTTTTAATCGAGTTTGACTTTGGTGAGCTTTTTTTTTGTTGCCCGCAGCGGCCATATGCTCAAGCAACTACGACTCGTTTCGGCTCCAGGGGGCTTTCTCTCAGTTCCAAAGACAAGTTTCCGTCTCGTCTGCCATTTTCGCACAAAGTTTTCTAATTGGCCTTGACGACGTCTTAGGGTTTAGGGTTTGCCTCACAGCCTCACAGCCTCTAGCTTTTAGCTGAGGCGAAAACTGTAACGCGAATTTGTGTGCGTCGTAAATGGATAATTTATTTGCAATTATAATTCAGTTCATTAAAGTTAATTGAATTAAGGGCTGGAAAAGTACATGTAAATATCCAACAGAGTAGTGCAAATGGATGGGTGTGGAGATAATAGAATGCTACTGAAGGCCACTCCTTCGGGAGTACAGATTTTAAAGTACTCGGCAGCGTCTATTTTTAGCAGAGTTGTCAGGGTATTTTGGGTGGAATTAAGGCACAGGAAATATTGCGAAAAATATCGACCAAAACTAACTCAATATGGAACCAGCCTTGGGGTTACAAAATTAAAATTAATTGTTCAATAAAAGCCACATCTAAAATCTCAATATGGCAACAGCTTTGGTTTAAAATTAACTTTTCAGTTTTCTGCAATGCACGTAAATATTTCTCAATCATAAATCAATTAAAAAATATCCCAGTTTTATTCGGAAAATTATATACATACATGTATGTATGTGTGAAAAAGTAGACATAAAACTTTCAATATGGAAGCAAATTTATGTTTGGGATAATAAAATTCATCCCCCAATTTGTTTGCATTTCTTGAGGGAAATTTTACTTTTTCTTCATTTTTTTTGGAAGTGTTTTTTAGGCTTAAAACTATAGCTACAGTATGCCAAAATATCCACCTAAAATAGGGCGTAAATATGCTCGTTCCAGCGAGATGTCAGTCTAAACAGCTGCCCATTTTCCTATTTAAAATCCATTCTCAACCAACACCGGAACTTTAAATTTTCCACGCAACACGCACATTTTAGGAACATTTTCGTTCAACTTTCCGGCAACAGCTGTTGCATCCTAAACAAACATTTGTGCCCCGTACCTTGTGCCCACAGCCAAACCCCAACTTAACCCATTTGAAAGCTCAATCAAAGCCACAGCCACCAACACCCCATTGTAGCTCAGCCCTTAAATTAAAAGGAAAAAAAAAGACTTTCCAACTTGACATATGTTTATCTGCTAATCATGGAAATTGCGATGCGGTGTTGCACAAATAAATAAAAAAAAATATTTAACTAGAAAACCTCATAAAAGAAGAGCCACAGGGGAAGAAGGGGGAATTGGCAAAACAGCTTTTCTGGCGAACACACAACACACACTCGTACTGGTATGATAGGGTAGGGTGGGGTAGGAACTGGGTGGCACCATATGCCAAAAAGCCAAAAACCAAAAATCGCACACAACAAAATTGCTGAAAGAGAAAAGCGAACCTAAGCAGGCGGCTTTGTCATTTCATTGTCTGGCCACGCGCGCATCGCCGGCAACCAGGCAAGGTCCTTTTGTATAGATAGCATGGATATACGGGTGTGCACACACACGTACAATATAATTCCCCACTGGTCTCCGGGGGTATCCTGCTATGTATGCCAGTATGCCGAAAAAAGAAAAGGACAAGACATAACTTTGCTCGCTTTGAGTCTGACTCTTACGCAGCCACCCACGCAGCCACACACACACACACACCCACCCGCCCAGTGGGAGTACTACCCATCCATCCACGTGCCCCAACATTTACCTTGTTGTGCCCGTGCCCGTGCCAGTGCCAGCGCCCCCCCACACCCAATGTTGTCATTCAAACATTTGTTGCACTCTTCGTGGGTAACTCAACACGCGCTCGTGTGCGCCTCGTAGTTCCACCACACTATAGCGCCTCTCTTTTGCCCATCTCTCGCTGTCTCTCCATCTATTTATCACTCTCTCTGTCTTGCCGCTCTGTTTACATTGCATTTGCCGTGCGTTGCTCTCGCGCTGTAACCCGAAGCCGGTCCGACGTCATCGCAAAGGTCAAAGCAAAAATGAAGAGGAGAACATTACGAAAAGTACTAGAAAGAAAGTAGGGGAGGCTTGTATCGAAGTTGTAGATACCCTACGGTGGGATATAGTTAGCAGATCTTCAAAGTTCTTGAATGATTATAAAGAAAATAAACTACTAGTTGGAAAGGATAAAATGACAGCGATTTGTTTTACGATAAGAGCATTATGTTGCAAAGCAGATGCTTGTGCTACAGAGACTTTCTACCATATGGAAGCTATTTAATATATTTTATATGTATATTTTATATATATAATAAATAAATAAAATAAATAAATAATTAATATATATATAATAAATAAGAATAACAAGAATAAGGATATATATTCTCCATACAATCTTCCTTTTTCTGGCTAACCAAAACTGTGACCCAAATGAGAATACCCTTCCTCGCAGGGGTATGCCAAAAAACCGACTGGCATCAAAGCTTTTTGCAAAGTCAGTGGGAGGTGAAGTGTGTTGTGGCCTCGCGGTGTGGCACCGTGTGTAGTGTGGTGTGGTGTGGTGTGGTGTGGTGTAGTGTGGTGTTCAAGTGTGGTATAGTGTGGTGAAGTGTCCTGTAACGGGGCTGAGCGTGAATGTGTGGGCGTCTGGTTGGCGTAGGTGGGTTAAATGTCCAACCATATGGTCAATGCACGGAGAAAATTGGCACTGGGCGGACGGAGGGGACGCTTCATTTGGTTTTCAAATTGAATAGGAAGCGTCGCGACATTGTCGGGGCGGCGTGGCATGCCCTTCTTGGCCGTTGTCCTGCTTTTACCCCAAGGGGTCCCTGCAGTTTGAAGATTTGTCGTCCCACGCTAATTGAGACATTTGTCAACTTGCGTAAATGAGCAATCATTTCTCAAAAGAAGAGACTCTACTGCTGCTGCTGCTGCCTGGGGGGACTCAAAGAAGGAGAAACAAAGTAATAAGGAAATATGCAACAATTTCTGATTGAAATTTTGTAATTAAAATGAATATCCTTTGTGTGGGGCAACTTAAATTTGATTGGGGAAATTAAATTGTTTTTGGGGGAAATTTGTCATTTTGTCTCACTACCAAAATGGTTGGTTGTGTTCGTTTGCCTTTTCTGGAGATTTTTCTGCACCAAGTTTAAAGTTCTGAATAAACTGAGGCCACAAACTGACTTAAATATTGTTTAAAAATTATATTTTTAAGTTCCATTATTATTTAATTATTTATTTGTGACTATTGCGTCAAAGAAACAAAATTTAAGCAAAACAAAACGGACAATTTTAGTGACTTAATGGCTGGGTTCACATCGGATCAAATCTGGCTAATATATGATAGAAGTTGGGCTACTTTTGTTGCTGTTGTCAAGGCTTAATGTTGTGTTTTTGTAAGCTGGGTTATAGAGTGGTTTATAGAGTGGTTTATAGATTGGTTTATAGAGTGTTCTAATTGGCATAATTGCAGCGGTCTTTTGACTACTTGACACCCTTGGGTTTCGAGCATATTTTGATTTCGGACGGCACTAAAGTAATGATCGAGGTTTGAGAATCGTCAGACAATTTCTTAATTGTATCTGTCAACTTGAGTTGTTTCTTAGCGGACTTGCCCTCCGATTTGGCTACCTTCTTCTCCTTTTTAGGCTTCAGCTTGGACTCGGCTTTGTCGGGCATGTCCAGTGCTTGCATTTCGCTCATCAGCGTCTCAAAGGTCATCGGCACCATGTAGTAACGCCCTATAGAGTAGATTCTTTTAATTGTGAGCACATATTGTTGAATTTGATTTACTTACCATCCATTTTCTGTAGGAAACCCAAACGCTTGCCCATTTCGAGGGTCTGCTTAACGGGCTCCTTGATATCTTCCTCTGGCAGATCGGTGTGCGTCGATATGGTGTTCACAATCTGACGCAGTGTTGCTGGTATCTTCAGCAGCTGCAGCGTGTGCACAATTATGGCACCATTAAAGTTCGGCATGTTTTTTGGGTGTTCCTATTTCTATTGATTTTGTGTGTGACTGTTTGTCAAGGAAAATGATTCAATGAATGATAACTTTAGGCTCGATAGCTCGGTTGTGCTGTTAGGTTAAAAGTGAATGCAAGTGAAATTTTTGAGTGACTTGCTTGGATTGGAAAATATTTGGTATGAGATATATATTTTGACGAAATATTATCAATACCTAAGTTACCTTGTCATCTACTTTAAGTATTTGTAAGAATTCGTATAAAATGCTATTTAATAATGTTTTAAAATGATTTTTGCGCGTGGCCAAAAACTTTGTATTTTGTTGTTAAATTCTGGGGACCGACAAGGCGAAGAGGCGAAGCCGAATAGTCTCTGTCTTGTATTGAACTGTGTATTTCCTTTTAAGTAATCTTCCTTAGAAGTCTATAGTTCACACACAATCGAACCTATTGAACTTTATTGCATCATCTCCAAAACCTAAAAAAAAATAGAATCACAATTTTCTGAAATATTTCATCAGAAGCCAAACAACCGAAAACAAATTGGTTGGTAACAAGAATTTTCCTTTCACTGACTTGCGTCAAGCGGCTATCGCCTTTACATAATGGAGCGAGTACGGGAGATACGGAGGGGCTGAGAGCGAGTGTTAGCCAGTCCATATCTATCAATAATCCCCAACAAACAAACAAACAAACAAAGAAAAAAAAAAGGAGAGAGAGAGAGAGAGAGAGAGTAAACTTTATCCACAGAACAGTTCAATATTGGCTTCTGATATTTACATCAGGGGACGCCTTTTGTGCTGACGTTTTTCCTGCTGCTGCTGCTCCGGCTGCTCGTCCTTATCAGCGCAGTACAGTTAGTGGAAGCATCTAAAAATAGAATTCATCGCCGCCTACACAAGAGCCAACTCTTTGGTAATCGCACTACGAACGACCGTCTGCCATATGGAGGTTTAATTAAACTGGGGAGAAAAAAAAACACACACACAGACACAGAACACAGAAAACAAAGAGAGAGAGAGAGAGAGAGTTGTTTGTATAGAAGCGAAACAAGGACAAAGTTTTCGGGTGCACATAGGCGAGGCATCAATCATGTTTATAGTGGCAATTAGAGCTTAAACAGCTGTCAAACTTGACTGACAAGTCAAGATGTCATTACTGTTGCATCAGCAGCAGAAGCAGCAGCACCATGAGAATAATGCGTGGATGTTGCAAATTGATATGATGACAGGGCTGAACAAAAAAAGCTTTCATTGAGTTGCAACAACAATATTAATATTATGGCATAAAAACTTTGACAGTTGCAAAACTGCAAGAATAGAGCGGGAGAGAGAGAGAGTGAGAGAGGGCGAGGGAGAGGGGAGGTAGAGTGATGACAGAGCAGCCTTTATGCCGCTGCTTTGCACTCCTGGCCCGTCGCTGTTATTGACAGGCAACGGTAATTTAATCAAAAAGTGTCAGACAGAGTTTGCCATATGGCAGCCATCGAAGCGTTCACGTGACACGCCGCGGCACTCGAACGTCGCTCCAATACGCAATATGGATGTAAAAAATGGCTAAGAAGCATGCGACTACGAGGCAAATAAAACGAATGATTGATACCCTTGTGCTAAGCCAAGGCATAGAATATGAAAAGAATACTTGAAAAGGTTTTCCTGAATCCAGATATTACTCGTGTTTGTGGCAACTGCAATCATGATGGACCCTTTCTTTGCTGTTCATAATATTTTTGATGCTATTTGGGGAAACAGTTCAAAGAAATCCTTATGCCATTCATACCCTTCGTGCCACCGGCAAACGGGTTGTATGCAAAAACGGAAATGGACCCGTGGGCAGCGCATTAAAGTATGCTATGATTTTTGGCTTTAGGGCCACAACAGACGCGTCGCGCGTCACTGCTCTTTTCCGTGTGAATATCCTTGTGTGCGTATGTGTGTGTGTGTGCTGGTTAAATTCTGTTTGATTTCCGTTTTGGATAGAAGCCTAAAAATAGAAACAGCCAAAAAATCAGTTGAAGCTGGGAAGTTCCACAAAAGCCAGAAAGACAGGCCCGAACGAAACGAAAAACGTGGCCCAAAGCGAACATTTATTTAACATGTTTGATGTTTCCCTCGGTTGCTGTAGCATTTTGCCGACTCTGCCCAGACCAAAAAAATCCCGGACTACCCAGGAAATTCGTTTGTTGATTGTTTGGTTTCTGTGCTGCAGATGAAAATACACAAAAATAAAAAACAAAAAACAAAAGGAAAATTCAGGAAAATTTTTTAGCTGCAAATGCCATTTAAAATGCAGTGTAAATATTATTTTAACACTTGTCAGTGTGCCCAAACAAAACATGACTAGATTTTTGTATGCACAAACGAAAGAGAGGGAGCATAGAGCATAGGAGCAGCGACAGACAGACAGACAGAGAGAGAGGGAGAGAGATATATAAGCATAAGGAATTTTTAGAATGACAATTATGTATGACAGACACGCTTCACGCTTATTATTTATGGCAAGGGATAAAACTTAAACTGAGAAAAACGTTGATGCTGAGGTATAATGGTCGATGCTCTACGTTCCACAAGGTGTTGTCTTTGGGTATGCGTTGGTGAAGAGGAAAGAGGAACTGAGATATAAATAGCAAAGGTAGCCAACAAAAAGAAATGCACAGAAAAGAGAATAGATATGTGGTAAATGGAAGGATGTATCATAATAAAGGGATGAAGATGAATCAATTTAAGAAGCATCCATTAATCTAGATTAAGAGTTAAGGGATGCATCATGAAAATAAAATTAACTATCATTTCGTTAGCAACTAAAGGTAGTTGCTGATATTTGATATACATACGATTAAATAGTACGAAATTATGCAGAAATAGATAAAGCATAGATAGGAAATGTCGAAAAATATATATACGTATGTATTTGAATATATTAATAGATATTTATATAGGCTATGGCTGTGATATGATTAGTTCAATGTCAGATGATGGATTACTGGACAGTTAGCGAAAGGAGATAGTCATAAAGATAGATATACAGATTATAGAGCGGGATAAACAGAGGGTTATAAAAATAAATATAAGTATGGTTAGAATGTGGTTAGAAAATATAATAATAGATAGTAATCCAGGTCAATAGTAATCAATCATACTCATAGTAATCAACATAATTTTCTAATTTAAAAAGAGAGGATAGCTCTCTATTTAATTTACAATTTTAGAACCATTTTACATCCATTTTTGAGTCAAGTTTCTGGAAGTGACTTTAACTGTTTTTTAAAGTAAATAAATATTAAAGTTTTTGCTACCAATTCACAAAATTAAAATCTGTATTTATTGAATTCTCCTGACTGCAATTTTCAGAAAAATTTCCTGAATTCAGGAAATTTATTTAAGTTTAATTTGATAATCAAATATTCTCAATTGAACGGACAAACGTTGGCCCATCCGGCCAGACAAATTCACACGACATACGATTTTATATCTTCTTTGACATTTATGCAGAGTCAACAGTGAATGTGACACAGTGGGCCCCAAAGGTATGCGTATATGTAGGGACTACTACATAACTATATGACTGTGACTGTGTGTGATAAACGACATTTTCACCATTTTGACAGTTATACTTGCTGTGTTTTATTCGAAAATATGACCTGCCTTCTGTCCGCTGTCTGGGTATCTCTTTTCTGTGGCACTGTGTCTCCGCTACACTGCTGTCTCCTCTTCAGTTGCCACTGTCTCCTGTCCACTGTCTCCACTGTGTGTGTCCCTTCCGTCTGCTGGTCATGTTTGGTGTGTGTATAAAGAGCATGCAAGTGACAAATTATATGCACAATGGGCAGTGCCAGTGCCCCACAGACTGCCACAGACTGCCACAGACCTCCATACCTCCATCCCCACCCTGCCACATGCCACATTCTCATTTCTCGTAGAGAGCGACAGATGAGTTGTGTGGAAGTGTCAGCATCAGTGTCAGGGCTTTGGCTGGGCTTTTCCCCAACCCCAACCCCAAACCCACAGTAAAATGTTTTATGTCCTGCAACCGAGACATTTCTGCCTTGTATAAAATATGAGTTGCATTCTGCCATAAACTTTGACCTGTTCTACCCTCCAGTACGTGTATACTGCGAAACTCCCTTTGTGTGATGGTTTCACCTCCCTGACTGCAACCATCTCGTATATCACTAATTGCACTTTGTTTATTGTGCTCGTGGTGTATTTTGTGTGCCCGCCCTCTTTCTTCTCCTGTGCACGGCCTTTGTAATTTAGTTTTATGTCAGGGACGTGCTTTCTCAACCAATTGACAAATTTGATATCCTTAGATTGTCAATTTTAATTGACTTGTTTTTTGGGGAGGGGGGTAGGCAGCCAATGAAAAGACAGCTGTTACGGCAAGTAATTTGAACTTTCTTGACATTGCCAAATGCTTAAAGGGAAACACCTGAAGAAGGGTCAGAAAGGTTTGTGTTTTGGATTAAATTTCTTTCAAAATTTCATATTGAAGATCTTGAATTTTTCTTGCTTGATTTTGCTCTGCTTAAGTCATCATATTTTATTGAGTAAAATATCACTAATTTAGGACACTTTGATTTTATCTCAATTTTGACTTCATTTCTTATGCTTGAGACATTTTTGATTTTCCATGAATTTTGATTGAAATTTCTTTGCTTAAAATGTTCTTTGTTTAAGACAGTTTGACTTAGACTTAAGCTTATTTTCTTCGGGTTTACCAAGCGATAAGAGTAAAGCTCTTACACAGTGGAAAGCCAAGCGATGCCTGAAAGTATGCCACGAAGAAAACAAAAAAAAATTATAAAATATTTTTCCGACAGCAACAATTTGTGCTTGTGGCTCTCCTGCTGTGTGCCACCCAACTCCTTGTTTTTTTTGTTTTTGTTGTTTTTGTTCTTTGCTTAAGTCAATTAATTGAAGCCATTTCTTGTGCTTACTTTTTGGAGTGGGGGCTTCATCAACAGCATCATCTACAGAGCTCCACCTCCACCTCCATTGCCAGTGCCCAGTTCTCCAGCTTCAGTGCTGTCCCCAGTCTCCGTCTCCGTCTCCATCTCCAGCTGTCTATTCTGCTTTTTCTTCAGACACATTTCTCCTGGTCTAC